GAGGGCCAAGAAAGAGTAAAGTCACAGAAGTCAAGGGAGTTTACAGGAAGGAATGCTCTCAATACAGTAACAGTGGAGCAGGAAGTCTTCTATAGGTTTAAGCGATGGTAGGAATTGAGGAATGAATGGTATGTAAGTAAAAACAAGTATGAACAACTCGTCCGACATTCTTGGATGTGAATGGAAGGTGATAAGGCCATATCCAGAGATCTTAAGATAGAGGAAAGATTTTTCTTTCTTAGATGAATGATACTGGGACGTGTTCTTAAGACAAAAGGAAAGCCAATAGAGAGATGGAGTAACTGTTACGGGGGAAGCCTGAGTCTAGGGGGGAGCTATGCATCGGAGAAGAAAGACACCTTTTCCTCTGAAAGAAATGTAGGTAAGGCTGGTTACCATATAGGTAGGCTTCTAGATATCAAGTGGGACCTTCAGGCAGTTTTCTTCCTGTGGCCTCTGTTTTTTCTGTGAATTAGGAACCAAAGTCATCTGCTGAATGTGAAGTAATAGTTTGATGGGTATTGAAACAAAGGTGGCAAACATTGAACTGACACTGGAGTGGGCTTTTCAGGGTACTTGAGGAGGAGGATAAGGGAGTAAGGCACTTACAAATGGAGTCTAGGCAAGCTAGGACAGGAAGAGAAACCAGGACAGTGAGCTGATCAGACAAAGAAAAAAATATAGGGATCAAGGGACTAAAAATAATGATAAAATCAAAGAACCGACGAGTCAGAATGAAAGAACTAGAGCTAGAAAGAAAAGCTGAGATCAAGGAACACAGAGAGAGATGCTGAATTGAAAATTTTAATATTAGAAGAGTTCTGGTAAATGACAAGGCCCAAAAGGGGACATGGGAGTTGGGTGCTGAAATTTTAATGGAGGCAAACATGGTTGTTGCCACAGAATTGAGAGATCACAGTATCTGACAGGTGATCCGCATGGACCCTGAATTCATCCAGGACTGTAGGTCTACATTATTTGATTCTGCAGTATTTGGCACATTCCCATCTATATGTGGAAATTAAACAATTTCTTAGATCAGAAGTCATCTAACCTACTAATGATCACGAAATTAAAAATTCTACAGAGTGGTTTTTATATCATAATGAACTCAAGAAAAGGATTACCAATGATTCAGTAGCTAAAAAATGGGATCTCTTTCAAAATAATTACATTTTTTTCTTATTAAAAATAGAACAGTAATGTTAGAGAAAATTAAAGCAGAAGAGCTTTCATTTTCTCCAAGATCACAAACTCATTACCATGAGAATCAAGCTTAGATCTCACATTTTCCAACTTCTAATGCCAAGCACTTTCTATCATAACTTGTCACTTTTCAGTAAGAGGATAGTCCTAGAAATTTCACAGGTTACAAAAGAGAAAATATTTTACCTTTTCAGCCATTTTCTCAGCTGGGGTGCTGCAGAATTCAACTGTTGATGGAATCTTTTTTTGACTGCTAATGCCAACATTTCCCAGAAGATGAGAATTTACTGCTTTTGCCAACTTGTGATTTGTTAACGCTAGTTCTGCTGTGCTATGGGGTTGTGCACTAGGGGAGTAAGTTTGCTGTCTTCCCCACTGCAAGGAGACTAAGAGCTCCTCCAGTAATCTGCATAGAACACACATGAACACTGAACATTAGGAAAAGGATGAAATATAAAAATCAGTGATAGGAAACAAATGAGAAACATATTTCTGAAATCGTATAATATCTTTTTCCTGTATCTTTCTCTCTCAGAGTTCAATAAATTAGGAAGTCTGGTCAAATAAGTTAGTGTACAGAAGGCATATGTTACTCTACTAAATTGTTATCTGAAAATCATTTAAGAAACAGTACTTTTTTTGTTCTCATATTTTAGTGTATAAGAACTATTGATTTGATTTGTGCAACTATTGAGCTATTCATATTAGTTTTCTTTTTTGGTGAGTTAAATTAATTAATTTTTGAATGCTAAATCAACCTACAATTCTTGGGACCAACCCTCCTGGATCATAATATATAAACCTTTTTCTATATTGTTGGATTTGATTCACTAAAATTCTGTTAAAGATTTTTGCATCTGTGTTCATTAGAGGTATTGGTCTGTGGTTTTCTTGTCATGTCTCTGGTTTTGGTATCAAGATAATGCTGGCCTCATAAAATGAGTTGGAAATTGTTTCCTTCTATTCCGTTTTCTCAAAAAATTTGTGTAAGTTTGATTTTAATTCTTCCTTACATGTTTACCAGTATTCACCAGTGAATCCATCTAGGCCTAAAATTTCCTTTACTGGAAGGTTTTAATTACAAATTCAATTGTTTTAAATGTAGGGCTATTCAAGTTATCTATCTATTCTTGAGTAACCTTTGGTAGCTTGTCTTTCAAAGAGTTTGTCTGTTTCATCTAAATTACTGAAGTTATTGACATAGAGTTGTTCCTAACATTTCTGTGTTATCTTTTTTATGTGAATAGAGTCTGCAGTGTCCTCTCCCACCCCATTCCTGATACTGGTAATGTGTATCTCCTCCTTTGTTTCCCCTAATTAGACTGGCTGGAGGTTTCTTAAGTTTATCGTTCCAAATAACTGGTATTCAGCTTTTCTGTTAAATTTCTTTTTGCTCTCATCTTTATTACTTTTTTCCTTCTGCTTACTTTGGGTTTAATTTACTTTTTATGTTTCTTAAAGAGGGATCTTCGATTACTGATAAGA